GCGCCCCGCTCCACCCCCGCCGTAAAGGCCCGCCCCCAAGCAAAACCCAAGCCGCCGCCACCTTACTGTTCTCCCGCCTCCCTGCAGCCTCGGACCAATGCGAGACGCTGGCGCCGATGAGTTGGAGATTAGAGAGGTGGGCCCGGGTGCGCGACCTCATCGCAGGTTTGGGAACCTGAAGGAGGCCAGGGCTGCTCCGAGGAGTTTTCGTGGTGACCTCTCAAGGGATGTCAAAGTGTGATTGGATCACTTACGTCCCTCAAAAGTTCCACAACGGGGTAGAATTACAAAAGGGAAGAGGTTTAGGAGCGGCTGGGCCAGGGGACTAGTCGTGAACTCAGTTTGCACAGCAAACAATGTTTTTATTCTGATTGCTTGTGGAGAACGGGTGGCAGACCTTCCAACTACTCTGACACCGTCAGGATAAGATATTGTTATGAATTTGGTCACCTGAGAGGCTAACTTCGGGTTGGGTAATAAATAAAAACATTTGCTACCACATGATCTCATTCATTTATGGATAATAAAGACCATTTATAAACTGATGAACAAAAATAGATACAGAGGCAGAGCAGCATTGAACAGACTGTCAAACTCCAGCGGGAAGGCAGGGAGGGTTGGGGAAGGGGGTGGGTAAGAGATCAACCGAAGGACTTGTATGCATGCATATAAGCATAACCAATGGACACAAGACACTGGGGGGTAGGGGAACCTGGGGGAAGGTCAAGGGGGGGGAGGAGACATATGTAATACTCTTTGTAATACTTTAAGCAATAAAACAAAATTTAAAACACACATTTGGAACGGCTTCCAGTTAGCAAACCTTTTTTTTTTCTTTATTATTGAAAGTATTACATATGTCCCCTTTTTCCCCCTTGACCTCTCCACCCTGCCCCGGTCCCAGGCCCAGGCCTTCACCAGCAAAGCTTTTGAAAAGGAATTCAGTTATAGAAAACCAAATTTGCTGAGCTCATGCTATGTCAGGCTCTAGTGCAGGTATTAAGGAGCCAAAGTGAGACAACCCTGACTTCCAGAAACGCATTTCATTCTAACCACCCCATGAAATTACTGACGTAGGATTGATGTTCTTATCCACTTTCTAACTAATGAGGAACTTGAGGCTCAGGGAGATAATGTGCCTCTTTGCTCTCCGTGTAGGATAATGGGTACCTGATCTGGGAAAGTTTAACAGTACAATATTTACAACAACAAAAAGCCCAAAACTCTAGTGGGCCTCTGACTCAACAAAAGCATTTCACTTACCCATTTTTAAGCTGGGAAAAAAAATGGATACTTGAACTTTCTAAGGCCATAGATACTGGATTCTCTTGGTAGGTCTGTATGAATAATCCAGACAACAGTGTAGTAACCAATAATAACCAATATAGTCTAGTGGCCACTTATGTTTATGGCTAAGAATTTTGACATGTACCAGAATCCTAATATCTTATGTTCTCCTTCTGCACCTTTGACTTCATTGACCCCCTTCCTCTTTCTTGAAACTGGATTTTCCTTACAATACAGCGTAGAGGTGCCTTTTCACTTCTGGGATTGTTCTTGGTAACCTTTTCTTGCCCTTCCTATATCTGTCCTACAGGAGAAGGCTAAAGTGTTGGTTTCTTCAGGATTTTCATTCCTAAGCCTTTTCTCATCTTTCTCTTCACCTGTTTCCCTAGGGCACTTGTTTAAAAATATAGACATGCTTAAAAATACCCTTAATAGACTCTATGTTTTTTTAAAAAATATATATTTTATTGATTTTTTAGAGAGAGGAAGGGAGAGGGATAGAGTTAGAAACATCGATGACAGAGAAACATCGATCAGCTGCCTCCTGCACACTCCTTACTGGGGATGTGTCCGCAACCAAAGTACATGCCCTTGACCGGAATCGAACCTGGTACCCGTCAGTCCGCAGGCTGATGCTCTGTCCACTGAGCCAAACCAGTTAGGGCAAGACTCTATGTTTTGAAAGCTCTCTCCTGAGCTCCAGATCCATATTACTTTACACATCCCCAGGCATATTTGACCCCAAACTCAACAAGTCCAAAACAGAAGTTCCCAAATTTCTGTGCCAAATCTCACTGGCACTGTGATATTAGAAGGAAGAATTTAGTCTTTCACCCATAAACTACAGGTTTTCATAGATGCCCTTTGTCAAATTTAGAAAGTTCCCTTTTATTCCAATTTTGCTTAGAATTTTTATCATGAATGAATATTGTAGAATACTTTCTCTGTGTCTATTGAGATAATCATATGGTTTTTATTTTTTCAAATTATTGTGGTAAATTAGATTGATTTTGAAATGTTAAATCAGCCCTGCATTCTTGGGATAAATTTAAAGTATATATTGGATTTGTTAAAATTTTGATTTTGAATTTTTGCATCTATGTTCATGAGGAATATCAGTTTGTAGTTGTATTGTAATATTTTTAATTAGTTTTGGTATCTGGGTAATGCTGGCCTCAAAGAATAAGGTTGAGAGTTTTTGTAGAATTATTTCTAGAAGAGTTCCTTAAATTTTTGGTAGACTTCACCAATAAGGCTATCTGAGCCTGAAGTTTTCTTTGTAATAAGGATATATATATATATATTGATTTCAGAGAGGAATGGAGAGAGAAAGAAACATCAATGATGAGAGAGAGGGTCATTGATTGGCTGCCTCCTGCACGCTCCACATTGGGGATCAAGCCTGCAACCCCGGACATGTGCCCTGACTGAGAATCCAACCGTGACCTCCTAATTCATAGGTTGATGCTCAATCTCTGAGCCATGCTGGCTGGGCTGTAATAAGGTTTTTAACAACAAATTCCACTTTTAAAAATAGATATACAGCTCTTTATATATGTGTATGTATATACATATGTGTTCTTTAGGATATCTTTTTTTTTAGCTTTGGCAATTTGTGTCTTTTAAGGAATTTCAGTTTCATCTAAGTTGTCAAATTCATAGGCATAATGTAATTCATAATATTTGCTTTTTATCTCTTAAATATATACAATCTGTAGTGATGTCAACTTCCTTGTTCCTGATATTGGTAATTTGTGTTTTCTCTATTTTTTTCTCATCAGTATGGCCAGAAGTTTACCAATTTTATTGATTCTCAAAAAAAAGCTCTTAGCCGAAACCGGTTTGGCTCAGTGCATAGAGCGTCGGCCTGCGGACTCAAGGGTCCCGGGCTCGATTCTGGTCAAGGGCATGTACCTGGGTTGCGGGCACATCCCCAGTGGGAGATGTGCAGGTGGCAGCTGATCGATGTTTCTCTCTCATTGATGTTTCTAACTCTCTACCTCTCTCCCTTCCTCTCTGTAAAAAATCAATAAAATATATTTTTTAAAAAACTCTTAGTTTCACTTATTTTCTCTATTGTTTTTCTGATTTCTATTACATTAATTTCTATTTTCATCTTTATTATGCCCCTTCTTCTGCTTGCTTTAATTTGCTCTTTTCCTAGTTTAAGTTGGAATCTCAGATCATTGATTTGAGACCTTCTTCTTTACTGTTATAGGTATTTACCTCTATATATTTATCACTAAGCAGTGCTTTAGTAATATCCCAGAAATTCTTATATATCATTTCCATTCATTTCTAAATAGTGTCTAAATTTTTTTAAATTTCTTTTTTGATCTATGGGTTATCTGAAAGCATGTTATTTAATTTAAAAATATTTGAAGATTTTCCAGAGAACTTTCTGTTATTGGTTTCTAATTTAATTCCATTTTGGTCAGAGAAAATATTGTGTATGACTTAATTTCTTTTACATTTATTAAGATTTCTTTTTATGGCTTAGAATATAGTCTACCTCAGTGAATGTTCTGCCATTGTTTTGTGGAGTGTTCTATACGGGCATATAGGTTAAGGTGGTTGATAGTATTGTTCAAGACTATTATATTCTTGCTGATTTTCTGTTCAGTGGTTTATCAGGAATTGGGAGAATCACTATAATTGTGATTTTATCATTTCTCCTTATAGGTCTATCAGTTTTGCTTCATCTATTTTGAAGCTCTGTTAATAGGGTCATAAATGTTAGAATTGTTATAGATCACTTTATAATTATGAAATGACATTCTTTATTCCTGGTAATGTGGAAGGATAGTAAGAAGCTAGGAAAATTCCTGGGCAAGTAGAATGGGGAAACTGAGACAAGAAAATTAAACAAGGCCAAACAATTTGAATAAATTACAGCCAGCTAGTGAATGGCAAGACCTTATCTTCCCTAATCAAGGATACTTGAGAGCAAATGGTTTATACCTGTCCTCCCTAACCAGAGAACATATAATTTCAATCATCCTGGTCAGGGAAAATAGAGAACAGAGACCCAATTAATGCCATTTGTGCCAGCCAAACTCAAGGACAGTGGAAGTCAGGGGAACAAATAACAAAAACCACAGTAAAGCCAGAAAGACCGAAAATAAAAGTCAAACAGTAAAGCAGACTAAAGAATAATCCCAAACTCCCCTATATGCTCAGCATATTGATGCGTCAGCATATTAAAAACACACCTGGAAAGCTAATGAATATTCAATTAAAACCCTCCCCTAAAATTCTTGCCCTCCGAAGAAAGATAAAAACCATCAAGACAAAGATCCGGTGCAGGCTCGCTCTAGAGAAATCCCATGCCCCTTCTCTAGCATGAACTTTTTACTTCCTTCTAAACTCCAAGGATCCCCAGGAGACTTACAATCTGGAGAGCAGTGGACAGTAGCAGCTCATCCCAGGCTTACCTCCTGATCCTGTCTCCAAGGCCCTCTTTTTCTCTGACTTTCCAGTGAGATAAAAGCAGCTCTGCCTTGGTTCACATTTTTACTATTATGTTTCTAAGGAGCCAAAGCAGAACACTCCATGGGCTCTCTCTTGTTGCTTCTTCTACCCTAAGTCCTTCTTTTGTTTCACTGTCCCCAGCTTTAATAAGTGTACTCTCAAAATCACCTGGAATCTTATTGTGAAACTAGAGGCCCGGTACGAAATTCGTGCCCGGATTGCGAGAGGGCACAGGCCAGGTCGAGGGACCTCACTGGTGCATGATCGGGGCTGGGGAGGGATGAGGGAGGTTGGCCAGCCGGGGAGGGACCATGGGAGGGCTCCAGGGCGTGTCCGGCCCATCTTGCTCAGTCCCAATCGGCCAGACCCCAGCAGCAAGCTAACCTACCAGTTGGAGTGTCTGCCACCTGGTGGTCAGTGCACATCATAGTGAGTGGTTGAGCAGCCTTAGCATATCATTAGCATATTACACTTTGATTGGTTGAATGGACGACCAGACACTTAGCATATTAGACTTTTATTATATAGGATCTTTCCTACACAGATTCAAGAACTTACACACTACAGGCCAGTCTGAGGCAGACCCACTCTGGGTTGGCCCTATAACAGTAACATTTTTTACTCTAACAATTTCTTTGTCCAATATTAAAATAGCATACCTGATTTCTTGGCTGGTTCTTGGCATGATATATTTTTTGCAACTCTTCAAACTGTTTGTATCTTTATGTTTAAAGTGTTTCTTGTAGGCAGCAAATAACTGGGTCTTGCTTTTTTGTCTGATCTGTCTTTTGTCAATTTCTGTCTTTTAATTGGAGTGTTAAGATCATTCAAATTTAATGTGATTATTGATATGGTTAGGTTTATGTATATAACCTGGAGATTCTCAAGATAGTAGGCTGAGACAATTGAATGGCTCATTTCTTTTGTTTCCTGTCTTTCAGGAGTCACTGCACGTTGAAGCTTGATATCCAGTATTCTATAACCATTATTTTATATATTTTCTCTGAAGTTTTTGGTTGTTACAGGCAGAAAGGTAAATTCAGTTCCTGTTACACTATCTCTGGGTAAAGTAGAAATCAAAGAACTTCATTTAATGATTAGTTAAAGCATCTTAAACATGTAAAATCTTCCTTTCTTATACATATTTTTATTCAGGGTAAAAATTGCCCTGAATTCAGAACAACTTAGGCAACACAGGATAGTGATGCTGATTCTTGTAAATGTAATTGTGAGGTTTCTGGGACTAACACATTTTTAAAGAAACAATTGATAAAATCCATAGATAGATAATTCCAGATTTTGTGTGCATCATATCATTGAATATTTATTTCAGGTGTAATCTGTAGTCATCTCATTTCATCTTTCAAAATGTTTACTATTTTAAACCTCCCATTAACAAAAAAATAACTTTTAAATGTATGAAAAATATTAGATGTCAACTTAAAATGTGGAAGTACATAGTGTTTCAAAATCCTTTTAGGATGGTATGTGAGTTTTTTTTAAAATTTGTAAACAACTGCTCAAAAATAAAATGTAATCATGTATCCCTTACTAATGGCTTCCCATTGCTATCAGGATAAACTAAGTTCTATCATTGCTTGCTTGGTACTTGGAGATTTGGTCAGCCCCTTTTTATCTTGTAGCCCGATCTTTTACCACTTTCCCCTCACTGTACTCTACAGCTATATTAAACTGCTTTATTTCCTTAAACATGAAATGTTCTCTCCTGTTTTGGGCCCTTTGAACCTAAATATCTTCTGTCTAGAATAGTTCTGTCCCCCCCCACCCCCCCACAACTCTGCAGTCTTGGGATAGATGTATCTTTCTCTTTTGTGCTCCCATAACCCTTTTCCCTTCACTAGTACTCACCACCCTCCACTGTATTTACCTGTTCACTTGTCTCTGTCCACGGAAAGCCCTGGCTGCAGTATCATCCCAGTAGCAATGAGCAAACATAGCACCCAGATACTGGTTTTTAAATACCATTCTCCAGCAATAGGAACCAGGGCTTTTTGGAGAAATGGCTGATTTAAGACTGAGGCAAGGATAAATGACCAGAAACATTTTGTGTGTGTTTGTGTGTGCCAGAAAGTAAAGAAGTACCCAAGAATAATGGGGACATGTCAGAGGGACACAGGAGTCAGTTTGAGAGGACTTTTACTGGCCAAATGTGGGACAGATCGTGATGGTGCGCGCGTGCGCGCATACACACACACACACACACATACACACAATTTCATAAGAAAATACCAAACTGTATTCCAAAGGGGCTGAGTCAGTTTGTATTCCCACCAGCAGGGTATGAGAGTTTCAGGTGCTCCACCTCCTTGCCAACAGATATCTTCAATCTTCATTGTAGCCTTTAAGCAGGTGTGTGATGGTATCTCACTGATGTTGACTAATGATGATCCTTTCATGTACTTGTATGTGATCTATATCTCTGCTGAGATGTCTCTTCAAATATTTTGCTCATTTTTACTGGGTTGTTTTATTATTGAGTTATAAGAGTTCTTTATATATTCTGGATACAAGTCCTTTATTAGGTTGTAACCAAAACTTTGTAACTGGAGCCCTAACAAGAACAACAATGAGCCCTAGCTGGTTTGGCTCACTGGATAGAGCATCGGCCTGGGGACTAAAGGGTCCCAGGTTTGATTCTGGTCAAGGGCATGTACCTTGGTTGCGGGCACATCCCCAGTGGGCAGTGTGCAGGAGGCAGCTGATCGATGCTTTCTCTCATCAATGTTTCTAACTCTCTGTCCTTCTCCCTTCCTCTCTGTAAAAAATCAATAAAATATATATTTTTTTTTAAAAAAAAAGAACAATGATACTAATAAAGGTACTCACAGGCATTTCTCCTCTGGCATTAGCACCTAAAATCACATCTGGTCCCTCCTTTACAGCCTTAGTCTTCAGGCTTCTGCTTCCTCCTGGGAGATGATGACCTTTGAAGACATTCAGCTATAAAAGAGACCAGTTTCATCAACAATAAAAGTACAACCTATGGGAAGCCTCCTTTATCAATGAAATAAAATGTTTTAATCCGAAAGAAAAGTGATGGTAAACAGATTATAGCTGCTGATTCAGTTAGGAATCCATCATTGTATCCTATATGATAAAAGGATAACATGCAAATTGACCCTAATGGGGGAACCACCAGGAACGATCAGTCGCTATGATGCGCACTGACCACCAGGGGGCAGATGTTCAATGCAGGAGCTACCCCCTGGTGGTCAGTGCATTCCCACAGGGGGAGCTCCGCTCATCCACAAGCCGGGCTGATGGCTGCGAGCACAGTGTCAGTGGCTGCAGTCTCTCCCTCCTCCTAGGCAGCACTAAGGATATCCGACTGTGGCTTAGGCCTGCTCCCTGTCTTCAGTTGGACATCCTCCAAGGGCTCCCGGGCTGCCAGGGGGATGTCTGACTGCCAGTTTAGGCCTGATCCCCCGGGGAGCAGGCCTAAGCCGGCAGGTGGACATCCCCTAAGGGGTCCTGGACTGTGAGAGGGCACAGGCTGGGCTGAAGGACCCCCCTGAGGGCATGAATTTTTATGCACTGGGACTCTAGTAACTATATAAAGAAAGAAATGAATGATTAAATGGGGAGAAACTCCTTATCATAGAATATCAACTAATAAGAGTCAAAGGAACAATTGAATTAGAAAATCATTTTGCAACCATCAAAGAAATAATAATAAATTTAGACAAGAAACATTAATGGATGGTAAAGTTCATCAATGAAAGCTGGATCAAGAAGAGGTTTTATTTACATTGTCCCAAAGTCTCTCCCTACAAAATAACCATTAATTATTCAAGGAAAAAGAGTAACTTTACAGTGAAGAAACCTGAAGATACCTCCTTATTCTAGTGATCAAAGTTAACATCAACAGCAGTGGAACAAATTAGCATCATGAGTCATCTGATGAATACAGTGAGATGAACACAGTATTACTTCAGTGCTTGCCTAAAATGTGTAACCTGATTGTAAGCAGACATCAGGCAAACCCAAATGGAGGCACATTCCAGAAAATAACAGGCCTGTATTTGTTCCAGTTATCTATTTCTTTGTAGCAAACACCCTAAAACCTACTGGCTTAAAACGACGCTTTATTTTACTATAGTTTGGACAAGGGGCAGCTCTTTTCTGCCCTAATGTAGATGTGCTATAGCCCAGGGCCCGACTCTACTAGGCCTCAGCTAGAGTGGCTCAAAGGCTGGAAGCAAGAATCATCTGAAGGCTTTCCTACTTCACATCTCTGACACCTGAACTGGGAGACTCAAGCAGCTGAGGTTGCAAAAGCTACGGCCCATCTGACATCTCTGCCTCTATATGGCCTCTTCATTACCACAGTTTCAGGATAACAAGATTGCCTATATGTCAGCTCAGAATTCCAAGGGAGAGAAAACAAAAACAGAAGTGGGGGCATCAGTGGTAGAGGGGGAGAATTAACAATCAGGTGACAACGTGGATAAATCCCAATGTATTATGCTCATTGAAAGAAGCCAGACTCAAAAGGTTACACAGTGTATGATTTCATTTATATAACATTTCAGAAAAGGCAAAACTATAGGGGGAAAAAACAAATCAATGGTTGCCAGGGACTGGAGGATGGGTGGAGAGATTGACTTCAAAGGAATACAAGGGCATTGTTTGGACTAATGAAACTTCCATACCTTGATTGTGGCGGTGGTTTTTCATTTATTTGTCAAAACTCATAGAACTATACACTAAAATTTTACTTAGTGTACAATTTTACTTGTATGTAAATTATACTTCAATAAACCTGACCCCCCCCCCACCACCACCAAATCAATTAAAAATTCTGAGGAATATATAGAAGATATAATTCAGATGATAGTGAACTGGAAACCCAGTCAAGAAATACACAAACACACATAGATTTAGGAAGGGGCCACTAGATGGTGGTATTAATTTTTGTAATACAGCCCAAGGAAAATCATAAAGCTCAAAGATCACAGACGTGGCAGTGGAGCACTTTTGGGGAAAGTTTCCTGTAAATTCATAGTTGTAACTTCTGATATCAAGCCTTGAGCTGCATTGGTTTCTGTGATTTTGCTAAGCCAGGTCTCCTAGCCTTCCACTGATTCTGGGAATCCAGCAATATCCTTCCAGTAAAATTCTATTTTTTTGTAGTTCAGTTTTGTTTTTGTTTTCTGAAACAGGTTGAATAACAGAACTAAAAATGGCTGTTGACCAATTTATTTTTTATTTGTTTTGTTTTGTTCTTATTTTTCACTAGTGGCCCGGTGCATGAAATTCATGCATGGGGGCGGGGGGTCCCTCAGCCTGGCCTGCACCCTCTCACAATCCGGGACCCCTTGGGGAATGTCCGACTGCCAGTTTAGGCCAGTTTAGGGGTCGGGCCTAAACTGGCAGTCAGACATCCCTCTCGAAATCTGGGACCACTGGCTCCTAACCGCTTGCCTGCCTGCATGCCTGATCACCACTAACCACTCACCTGCCTGCCTGATCGCCCCAACCCCTCTGCCTGACTGCTTGATCGCCCCTAACCACTCACGTGCGTGCTTGATTGCCCCTAACAGCTCACCTGCCTGCCTGATCCCACCCAAGCACGAATTCATGCACGGGGCCTCTAGTGGTATAATGAACTCCCAATATCAGCAAACATCAATAATCATTCATGATCTGCTTTTCTTTCCTTTTTTTTTTTTTTTTTAGAAGGGGAGGATGGGAGAGAGAGCAAGAGAAACATTGATTTGTTGTTCTACTTATTTATGCATCTTTGTTTGATTCTTATATGTACCCTGACCAGGAATAGAACTCACACCTTGCTGTATCTGGATGATGCTCTAACTGAGCTACCCAGTCAGTGTAATAATCTGCCATTAATTTATCAAACCACCACCCCAACACCCATGCAAGTATTTTTTTTACAATTCCTTTTTTAATGAAATAAAATTTACATATTTTGAAACGCACAGATTTTTAAAAGTAGACCTTTTTGAAAAAGAAGTTTTAGAGGAAAAAAGCAGTTTTAGGTTCACAGCACAATTGAGCAGAAAGTACAGAGAATAATTATTATTAACTGCTCCCCCCCCCCCCCCCCCCCATTTCCACTCATACATAGCCTCCTCCATTATCAACATCCCTCACAGAGTGGTACATTTGTGACAAGTGATGAAGCTACATTGACACACCGTTATCATCCAAAGATCATAGTTTACTTTAGAGTTGACTCGTTGTATATGCTACAGGTTTGGACAAATATATGACGTATGACTGCCATTATAGTCAGTATGGTATCATACAAAGTAGTTCCACTTCCCTAATCATCTATGCTCGTCCCTCCCTCCCCTTAACCCCTACTGAAATGCACAAATGTTAACTGAACAATTCCAATATTTTTTTAAGGACCTGGTTTGGAAGTTTTCAATAGCATAGAAGCAAAAAGAAAAAGGAAAGTTTGTATTTAATTTTTTGTCAACCTACACCTAACCAGGAGAATAAATACCAAGAATCAGTTTGACCAACCTTAACCAAGTGGCCTATAAAAATTAACTCATCATCTCATCTTTTGTTGTCAGTTACAAGATGTATCGGTTACTGTATGGACGCTCCTGATTGGCCTGTAAATAGTTGAGGGAAATTGTATTGTTTTGAATGGCTTCAGACAACGAATTTGCTCTAGGCCCCATTTGTTCATCTTTCTGGTGGTTCAGGATATTGGTAGAGCTCTCCTCCAACACCATATTCCAAATCAATCAATTTATATTACAAATGATGCTATTGGTTCCCTAAGGTTATTTTCTCTTATCATTTCAATAATGAATACATATTGAGTTTACAGGAAACAAAATCTTAATATTGGCTCCTACAAGACCTTTTACAGTAGCTTAAAAATAGTGGTATGTAATGAGTCTTATGATTCCAATCCACCCAACTAGTGCATGGGGTCACCTAGACCCCAACACCCCTACATGTCTTCCTCCATGTTGGAAAAAACGGACTAGAGACGTCTGACACCTCTTGGAAGTTTCTTTTATTCTACAAATGAGCTTTGTAAGACATCCCTTTACCATTTAGCTATTTTTCTACCCTTTTGAGGTCACAAAGCACCCTTGCCTGAGGTTAGCACACTTTAAACTTCAACCCTCCTCTCCCGGTTTCTGTCCGGCCCACGAAAGCAAGGGCACTGCACAATTCTCAGCGTGCAGCTTGGGCATTGCCCTCCCTCAGCGGAATGAGCAGCCTCCCTGGGCTCCTGCCGCTTCGGAGGCTGCCCAGGTCGGAGCACAAGCGCGGGCGCCGCTGGGCTCAGCCCGCCCTCCCCTGGC